GTTCACTCCCCAATTGGCAGCAACGGTCAGAGCTGTGCAGATCCGAAGCCAGGAGCCAGGAGCTTCTTCCGGGTCTCCCATGAGGGTGCAGGCGCCCAAGGACTTGGGCCATCCTCTACTGCTTTCCCAGGCCATAGCAGAGAGCTGGAGCAGCCGGGACTAGAACCGGCACCCATATGGGCTGCCAGCACCACAGGCGGATTAACCTACTGCACCACAGCGCTGGCCCCTCCATTTTTTTTATATCTTCTTTTTCCTTGCTAAAAGTTGCTACTTTTTCATTTGTTTCAAAAGTGTTCATAAGCCCTGCTGAAGCCCTGTGTGATGACTGCTATAGCATCATTGTCAGAGAATTGTAGCACCCATGGTGTCAGTTGGTTGTTCGTTCTAATCTAGTTCAGTTTTCCCTCATTCCTGCTATGATGAGTGATTTTCAGTTGAAACCTCAACATTTTGCATATTACGTTATGGGACTCTAGATTTTATTTCAATCTTCTCTGTCGCCACTTGAGCCATGGAAGATTGGGCTTCGTCTCATGACTGATGGATGTGGGTGGTGGGCCAGGTTGCTTCTAACGATGCCATCGTATTTTAGACCATCAGGGTCTCCTGTTCCTGCTTTTCAGGTGGCCCCACAGACACTGTGAGAAGGCGGCCTCATTACCAAGGCATCGGGGTGGAAGTCCCGGCTCTGCTGAGCTTCCTCTGACACCACCTCTGCCCTGTGTGACTGCCCTGAGGCCAGGCCCCCTGTGTGGTCGTCACTGGCAATGCAGCGGAGGGGCCTCCGGAGATCAGGAGGCCGAAGTCCCACTTGCTCACCTGCCTCGTCTGACGCCACCTGTTGGGGGAGCCGAGGAGCCCCACCGTGGCTCTGCGAGGGTACACATCCAGGGCCTTCGCCAGGCAGTTGTTGTTTTCTGGGGTGTTTGGCTAAGCTAGGGCAATGCTGATCTCAGCACTCCCTTGCCTGGTGATCTTTCCCTGGCCTTGGCTGGGGAGGGTGGGCACTGTGGTTTTCTCTGGCTGTTGTGTTTTTGTGTTGCCAGCCTCTCTCTCTCTCTCTCTCTCTCTCTCTCTCTCTCTCTCTCTCTCTTTTTTTTAAAGATTTATTTATTCATTTGAAAGCCAGAGTTACACACAGAGAGGAGAGGCAGAGAGAGAGAAAAACATCTTCCATCCGCCGGTTCACTCTCCAATTTGACGCGACGGCCAGAGCTGTGCAGATCAGAAACCAGGAGCCAGGAGTTTCTTTCCGGTCTCCCACGCGGGTGCAGGGGCCCAAGGACTTGGGCCACCTTCCACTGCCTTCCCAGGCCATAGCAGAGAGCTGGACTGGAAGAGGAGCAGCTAGACTTGATCCGGTGCCCACATGGGATGCCGGTACCACAGGTGGCAGCTTCACTCACCACACCATAGCGCCGGCCCTGCCAACCTCTCTTTCACCCAGTATAGATTTATAACAGCAAAGAGAAACCCAATGAATGATTACTCTGCCCTGCTGAGTCCCCTACTTTGTCTATTCTCTTCTTTTCTCCTTTCAGTTTCCTTTGCTTGTTTTATTTGTAATGCCTGGATTTTAAAATGTGCTTAGCAGGAGAAAAGGTACAATTCCCCAGAAGAGCAAGTCTTGCTACTCCTTTCTTTTTTCTTCTAAGCTTAAAAAGTAATCTGGCTTCTTAGTTCACAGGAAATCAGAAGCAATGCCCCATAGGCCTCTCTTTCTGATGTTGAAATGTTAATAATTTCAACCGTTTCCTTTTGATTGTCCAAACCTAGGAGTTATATCTATCTGGGAAGTTTCCACCTTTCCAATACTAGAGCTATCCTTTTGCTTTTTCAGTTTTAAATTTATTAAATTTAAATTAAATTTATTTTTAAAAGTTATTAGATTATTCATTTATTAAATTATCTCTGTTAGATTCACTGATGTACTCTCTCTCTTTGTACCTGACCTTTAAGCAAATTTGTAAGATAGTTCAATATGGTAGCTCATTAAAAAATAAATATCTCAGGCTGGCGCCCTGGCTCACTTGCTTAATCCTCCGCCTGAGGCGCCGGCATCCCATATGGGCACCAGTTCTAGTCCCTGTTGCTCCTCTTCCAGTCCAGCTCTCTTCTGTGGCCCAGGAAGGCAGTGGAGGATGGCCCAGGTGCTTGGTCTCCTGCACCTGCATGGGAGACCAGGAGGAAGCACCCGGCTCCTGGCTTTGGATCAGCGCAGCACTGGCCATAGCAGCCATTTTGGGGGTGAACCAATGGAAGAAAGACCTTTCTCTCTGTCTCTCTCTCTCTCACTGTCTAACTCTGCCTGTCAAATAAAAAATAAAAAAAATCTTTAAAAATAAGCTTTCATACAAACAATAACTGGTTAATAAAAATGATTTGTTGCTTGTCCGAATTTAAATTTAACTGAATATCTTGTGTTTTTATTTGCTAAAGCTGACAAGTACAGTTATGGAGAGCTGCTCCGAGTGCTTTGGGATCTAGGGGTGGGGTGTGTGTTAATGGGGATGGCGTGTGGATGGGAGGAGGTTACTACATAGGGTTGCTTGCATTGTGAAAGTCTCCTGTCCCATTATGAGAAGCCAGGGTTGAAAATGAATGCATGTTTTAGAAACAGGGTGTTTGAACTGGGTTGTGGAAGATAGTGAATTTCCCAGGCATGTTATCCACCCAGGTAACAACACATGAAAAACAGAATTAAAATGTTTGTTTCAGTGCAAAAATCTTTGAATCTATAGCAGTTTGTTTTTTTATGTGAATTTTCCATGAACTTTTTGAAAACCCCCTTGGATCCATGAATTTCAACATTTTTGTACCAAGATACGCTTATCTTTTAAAAAAAGGTTGATCTGTCAATAAATAAAAAAAACTAATTTATTATTTAATTTCTTTGAAAGACAGAGAGAGAGAGATCTGCTAATGGCTTATTCACTCCCTAAATGTCCCAAACAGCCAGGGCTGGGCCAGCAGGAGGAAGCCAAGATCTGGGGATTCAATAAAGATCTCCTATGTGGGTGGCAGGAAGCCAGGACTTGAGCCATCACCTGCTGCCTCCCAGGGTTCACGTTAGCAGGAAGCTGGAGTCAGGAGCAGAGGTGGGACTCAACCCCACAGGTGGCCCAGGCAGCATCTTCACTGCTGCTTGAAGCATTCAGCCACCAAAAGTATCTTTTAGCTCCATCTTTCCATGAGTGTGTGTGGCACCCTCATTTTGGCAGCCATAAAGCCCACTTCATCTACTATGCCCCTAATTCACACTTTATTAGTTGTTCTTGTCGAGTCACTCACGCGCCCTGACTCAATGGCTTCTCAGAGCCTCCTTCCATCAAACTGACCTCTGACCTCACTATGGAGGCTGAGTGCTTGGCCACTCTCGGAGCAGAAGGGGAGGAGCTGGTCCCCAGGAGCTGGGCTGAGTCAGTGTGTCTGCGGGAGTAAAGTCTGCCAGCGAACTCTGTTCTCACCCAGCTCACCTAGCGCCGTGGTGTCCAGTGCATCCTCCCTGGAAGGCTTGTTGTCACAGCACAGCTTGTTCTTGTTTGTTGAAAAGTGATACTGACCATTTCCACCACCGCCCTTTTTAAATTTAAAAGCACACGCAAACGGGGACAGGTGTTGGGGCGCAATGGTTAAGCTGCCACTTGCAATCCTGGCTCTCTATGCCTGAGTGCCAGTTCCAGTCTTGGCTACTCTGCTCCCAATCCACTTTTTTTTTTCTTTACAGGCAGAGTGGACAGTGAGAGAGAGAGAGACAGAGAGAAAGGTCTTCCTTTGCCGTTGGTTCACCCTCCAATGGCCGCCGCGGCCAGCGCGCTGCGGCTGGTGCACCACACTGATCCGAAGCCAGGAGCCAGGTGCTTCTCCTGGTCTCCCATGGGGTGCAGGGCCCAAGTACTTGGGCCATCCTCCACTGCACTCCTGGGCCACAGCAGAGAGCTGGCCTGGAAGAGGGGCAACCGGGAAAGAATCCGGTGCCCTGACCGGGACTAGAACCCGGTGTGTGGGCGCCGCTAGGCGGAGGATTAGCCTAGTGAGCCGCGGCGTTGGCCCCAGTCACCTTTCTATTAATGCGCCTGGGAAGGCAGTAAATGATGGCTCAGGTGCACAGGCCCCTCCCACCCAATGCGCCCCTCCCACCCACATGGGAGACCCTGAGGTGGTTCCTGGTTCTTGGTTTTGGCCTGGCCCACCCTGGATGTTGTGGTCATTTGGGGAGTGAGCTAGTGGAAGGAAGCTCTCTCTTGATCTCTGTCTCTGTCACTCTGCCTTTCAGGTAAATAAATAGAGCAGTCTTTTAAAACCCCACACAAACACAAACATCTGGGTTTGTGCCCGTGACAGCCTGGACAGACTCTCTATATTGCATGGTAGTTGCCCTGGGAGAGTGAGATTGGGAGTTTGGGGGGCGAGAACAGGTGCGTAGTTGTATCTTTTACATTTTATAAGCTTCTGTGTTTCTGGCAGAAAGTCTTTTACAAAGACAATGGCATAGTTTGTTAATAGACAAGGAGCAAAGCAGTCCTGGCAAAAACAAAATTTGAGATTAAAACCCACTCCCCAGCACAGTTCCTTTCATTCCTTTGGAAATACAGTCTCTGACCGGCCAGGTGAGGCCCAGCGGCAGTCGTAGAGCGTAGGCCGTGCACGTGCCACAGCCTTGCTGGCCGTCCATCACCGCCATCGCAGCTGCTTCTCCAGGCTGCGCAGTCTTCTCTCCAAGTCGAACTTCCTAGGACGGGAAGGGCCGACTGGGAGTGACCAGCGATTTGCAGCACAAATTCTTCTTTCTTGAGCCCTGACCTAACTGCTTGAGCAAAGGGGAGGTAGGAACGGGGAGCGTTTATCTTGGCAAGTTCCTTTTTTTCCTTTTTTTGGATCTTAGCATTTTTTTTTTTCCAATCTGGAAAATGAGTCATTGAAAGCAGGTTCTCCCTGGGGTTATCATCTATTATTTTCATGAAGCACATCATAAATAACCATCATTTGGACATAATTCTTTGTAAATCTGTATTTAATCCACCAGCCTTCCTGTTTTAAGATCACTTGGCGTAATGCAGGCCATTTATCCTCATGATAGATATGGGCTGGTAGATATAATTATCCCTCTCCTAGATGGGGAAACTGAGTCGGGGGTGTGGGTTGATCTGTCACAGTTTTGGTGTCTTATCAGGGCCGCCGTGGGCTTGGCTTCCCGGCGTTCTGGCTGATGGAGAGCAGAGGAGAGCCCTGGGGAGCAGACGACAGGAGGGGTGAGGGTGTGGGGATTATGAAATAGATCCATCACTTTCCTGCTTCTCTCTCTCTCTCTCTCTCTCTCTCTCTCTCTCTCAGATTCCAAGTCATTCTTTCTCTGTGGCCTTTCTTCGGGACATATTCATGAGTGCACCTTTGGAGTTTCACACACACACACACACACACACACACAGGACAATTTGGTCACACCTAAGAGGCAGATAAAGCTGAAGGGAGCCTGCAAAAGGATCTGCAGATAAAAAGTCCGGTATCTGGGCAGGTAACACCCAATTACAACAGAGCAGTGTTGACTTACACTTTTCCTTATCGGGGGAATCAGCTATTCATGTAAATCAGAAAGGGGTTTGATGGATGCCAGTTCATTGGCGTCTCCAGCCAACGGACAGGTTTGGTTAAACAAAATATATATTCCCCTTATCTCCAGTGGCGACGATGGCTGTAACTCGCTGGCTCCCCTTTACTCCTCCATGCCCTATAAAAAGAGGGCTTATCTGGAGTTTGTAATAGCCTAATGTCTACCAGGGCCTGCGCTAAAATCACTCTGACAACACGGCAACCGGGGCCCAGCCCAAGTCATTTCGGCAGACAGATGATCTTCTCTTATCTCCAATTGTCTTGGCAATAAATGTCTTTTTCTTAAGATCCTTGTTTAGACTGCCTCCGGAGAAAAGAATAGGTAGGAGCTCACTCGATAGGAGAAGTCGCTGGGATTGCGAGTTCTGCACAGGGGTCCACTGGCTCCGCGAGGTTTGAGGGCTGCGGTGACGAAGGGACTCACACGCTGCACGCGGCTGCGCACTGCGGCGGAAATGGCGGTGCGGCCCGCGCTCACGCGGCGCAGGAGCCGGAAGTGCTGGGCTCAGCCACCGGATGCGGGCAGAGCCGGAAGGTGAAGGCCACGGGAGGGAGAGCAGCTTCCACGAGATACGGGGAAGGTGCTGAAATGTTGTGGCCGCTTCTTGACTGAGATAGAGGCTTCATCAGCCAGGTGGACGACGGCCCCCGGAGCCGAGTGGGACTCTGCCCCACACCTGCCTGCTGAAAAGATGTATTTATTTATTTGAAACTCAGATTTACGGGGGGTGGGGGTGGGGTAGGGAGAGAGAGAGAGAGAGAGAGAGAGGATCTTCCATCCACTAGTTCACTCCCCAAATAGCTGCAATGGCCAGAGCTGGGTCAATCCAAACACAGGAGCCAGGAGCTTCCAGGTCTCCCACACGGGTGCAGGGGCCCAAGGACTTGAGCCATTCTCTGCTGCTTTACCAGGCCATTAGCAGGGAGCTGGATTGGAAGTGGAGCAGCCAGGATTCAGACTGGTGCCCATACGGGATGCCGGCACCGCAGGTGGAAAATCCATTCACTGCCCCACGGCAGTAGCCCCTGCCTGCTAAGATCTTAACCGTGCCTTCTCCCTCTGGGCGCCTGCACTGGCCTTTGGGAGAAGGGTCCACACGCGCCTGAGGCCCAGAGCTGCAGGAAGGCAGCAATGCACTGCTTGCTGTTTGCTCCTGCTGGAGGTGAGCATGATTGGCCTTGAATTTGCCTTTTCAACTACTTCTGGGTGTTCCCAGCTTTTCTGTACACATAATGAGCTGTTGAGAGTGGAAACCCCCCAGGGGTGGCTCCCAGTCACCCAATTCAGCACCCTATGGGAACCTGCACACCACCTCCACCCACGTCCCCCCCAGGAGTGTGTAATGTCATCCCTCACACTCCATTGAGACAGACGCCTCTGTGTCCCCAGGTGAACCACTTGGGAATGACAAGGGCTTGTCCACCTCTCCTGTCCTTAGCTCCGAGTCAGGTTTCTCTGACACTTAGGGAAGCTGAGCTTCTGTTCAGGGCTCACTGGCCGTCCGTGCACCTTTTCTGGAACTGCCAATTCAAGACCTCTGCGCATTTTTCATTCTGGTTGTTTGCTTTTGTTGTTGAATTGTAGCAGTTCTTTGTGTAGCCTGGGCATCAGCTTCCTGTTGTTTCTATGGTTTGCAGACACTTGCACCCTTCCATAGGCTACGCTTTCACTCTATTGATTGTGTCCTTGGGTGCGCTCAGGTTTTGACATTTCATCTATTTTTCTTTCTTTTGTTGTGTGTGCTTTTGGGGTCATCTTTCTTAGCTTTGAATCTATTCTTTTTGGTATCGAAGGGAACCAGGACTTGGAACGTTAACTTCGCTTGGGGAGAGAGATGCTCTGCCTTGTGTCTGCGTGACCCCAAGTGACCACCTGGACATCCCACAAGTGTCCTCTCTGAGAGCCATGGTGGCATTTATTTCCATTCTGCTTGGCCAGCCTAGCCTTATTTCAGTAACATAACCTCATCTTTTCACTCAAGGCCGCGCTTTTCCAGATGGTGTGGCCTCTTGCCTTCCTGAGTGGGACATTTCTAGACAGGTGCAACGTCCTTAGGTGTCAGCTGGACAGAATATGAAGGATGGACAGAGGAGCCAGGGATGGGGCACTCCCAAGAAGGCAGGCCTCAGCTGGTGGGGAGAGCGGAGGGTCTCAGCCCTGGGCCCTCTCTCCTGGGACCCATGTCTTGTGTTCTGGTGTGAGTGGGGACAGTATGTGGGGGGGAGACTGAGAGAGCGAGAGAGAGAGAGAGCGAGCGAGAGAGAGCGCTATTGTAGCTACTCTTTTCCCCCATGGAGGAGGAGGCTGGCACTTCGAGTAATATTTCGGTTAGAATTTGCTTTTTCTCTTCAAGACTGATTCTGATGTGTTCTCTAATATGATCATTCGTTAGTATGTAAATAATTGGAAAAATCAGAAAATAAGTGGACAGATATAGCTCTACACATTTTTTTATTTTAATTTTTTATTTATATAAGCTGAACAAATTTCATGTATTTCATATATGCAGATTTAAGAGCATAATGATACTTCCCTCCCACCTATCCTCCCACCTTCCCTTCTCCTTTCTTTCTTATTTTTCTCTTAACTTTTACAATGACATACTTTTTTTTCTTTTGACAGGCAGAGTGGACAGTGAGAGAGAGAGACAGAGAGGAAGGTCTTCCTTTTCCGTTGGTTCATCCCCCAATGGCCACTGCGGCTGGCACACCGTGCTGATCTGAAGCCAGGAGCCAGGTGCTTCTCCTGGTCTCCCATGTGGGTGCAGGGCCCAAGGACTTGGGCCATTCTCCACTGCACTCCTGGGCCACAGCAGAGAGCTGGATAGGAAGAGGAGCGACCGGGACAGAATCCGGCGCTCCAACTGGGACTAGAACCCAGTGTGCTGGCGCTGCAGGCAGAGGATTAGCCCATTGAGCCGTGGTGCTGGCAACAATGACATACTTTCAATTTATTTTATAATCATAAGCTTAACCATCTACAAATAAAGAATTCAACAAGTAGTAAGCAGCAGAAACCACTGTTCCTCAAGAGTATGGACTAGGGCTGTAAACAATGACCAAATCTTAAAATGCCAGTCTCACTCCTATACATGACATTTTTTGTGCTCTGTATATTAATTACCACATTTCAGGAAAACATGATATTTGTCTTTCTAGAATTGACTTATTTCACTAACCATTATGGTTTCCAGTTGTATCCATTTTGTTGCAAAAGGCAGGATTTCATTCTGAGTAGTATTCCACAGTGCATATATATCACATTTTCTTTGTCCAGTCATCACTTGATGGACATATACATTGATTCCATATCTTAGCTATTGTGAATTGAGCTGCAATAAATATGAGGTTACAGATAACTCTTTCATATGCTGATTTCATTTTGTTTGGGTGAATTCCCAGGAGTGGGATGGCTGTATCATATGATCTATTTTCAGATTTTTGAAGACTTTACATACTATCTTCCACAATGGCTGTACTAGTTTACATTTCCACCAACAGTGGATTAGGGTACCTTTTTCCCCACAACCTCACCAGCACTTATTGTTCTTTGATTTCTCTATGAGAGCCATTCTAATGGGTGAGGTGAAAACTCATTGTGTTTTTTATTTGCATTTCCCTGATGGCTACTGATCCTGAGCATTTGTGTGTGTGTGTGTGGGGGGGCATTTGAATTTCATCCTTTGAAAAATGTCTGTTCAAGTCCTTTGCTCATTTCTTGACTGGATTGTTTGTTTTGTTGTTGTTTAGATTCTGGAGCTTTTTATAGATTCTGGGTATTAATTCTTTATCAGTTGCATAGTTTGCAAATATTTCCTCTCATTCTGTTGGTTGCCTCTGCATTTTGTTGTGTGTTTCCTTTGCAGTGCAGAAGCTTCTTAACTTGGTATAATCCCATTTGTCTATTTTTGCTTTTATTGCTTGTGCTTCTGGGGTCTTTTCCAAGAAGTCTTTGCCTATGTCAATGTCTTACAGAGTTTCCCTGATGTTTTCCTCTAGTAATTTGATGATATCAGATCATAGATTTAGATCATTGTTCCATTTAGAATTGATTTTTGTATAAGGTGGAAGAGAGGGGTTTTGTTTCATATTTCTGTACGTGAAGATCCAATTTTCCTAAAACAATTTGTTGAAGACACTTGCATTTCTCCAGGGATTTATTTTAGCTCTTTTATCAAAGATTAGTTAATTGTAGATGTGTGGATTAATTTCTAGGATTTCTGTTCTGTTCTGTTAGTCTGCATGTCTGTTTTTACGTCAGGACCAGGCTGTTTCGATTATAACTGCCCTATAGTATGTCTTGAAATCTGGTATTGTGATGCTTCTGACTTTGCTTTTGTTGCTTCAGAATTGCTTTAGCTATTCAGTGTCGCTTGTGTTTCCATATGAATTTTAGCATCATTTTTTCTAGATTTGAATAGAATGTTATTGGTATTTTGATTGGGATCATATTGAATCTGTAAATTACCTTGGGTAGTATGGATACTTTGATGATATTCTTTCAATCCACAAACTTGGAAGATTTTTTTCATTTTTTATGTCTTCTATTTCTTTCTTTAATGTTTTGTAATTTTCATTGTAGGGATCTTTCACATTCTTGGTTAAATTTATTCCAAGGTATTGAAGTCTTTATGTAGCTATTATGAATAGTACTGATCTTACAAGTTCTTTCTCAGTCATGGCATTTTCTGTGTATACCAAGGCTAATGATTGTTGTGTGTTGATTTTATATTCTGCAACTTTACCAAACTCTCTTATGCGTTCCAATAGTTTCTTAGTGGAGTGATTTGGTTTCCCTACATTTGGAGATCATGTCATCTGCAAACAAGGGTAATTTGACTTCCCTCTTTCCAATTTGTATCCCTTGATTTTTTTTTCTTGCCTAATGGATCTGGCTAAAGCTTCTAGAACTATATTGAATAGCAATGGTGAGAGCAGACAACTCTGGTTCCTGTTCTTAGTGGAGATGTTTCCAGCTTTTCCCCATTCAGTTTTTTTCTAAGATTTATTTATTTATTTGAAAGACAGAGTTACACAGAGAGAGAAGGAGAGGCAGAGAGAGACAGGGAGAGGTCTTCCATCTGCTGGTTCACTCCCCATTTGGCTGCTATGGCCAGAGGTGAGCTAATCCAAAGCCAAGAGCCAGGAGCCTCCCCTGGGTCTTCCCATGTGGGTGCAGGGGCCCAAGGACTTGGGCCATCCTCTGCTGCTTTCCTAGGCCATAGCAGAGAGCTGGATAGGTAGTGGAGAAGCTGGGACTCGAACCTGAGCCCATATGGGATGCCTGCACTGCAGGTGGTGGCCTTACACTCTAGGCCACAGCACCAGCCACCCCCCCACCCCCCCCTTTCAGTTTGATGCTAGCTGTGGGTTTGTCATACATTGCCTTGATTATGTTGAGGAATGTTTCTTCTATACACAATGTGCTTACAGTTTTTAT